AAAAATTAAAAGAAGGCCGGGCGCAGTGGCTCACGCCTATAATCCCAACACTTTGGGAGACCGAGGCAAGGTGGATCACAAGGTCAGGAGATCAAGACCATCCTGGCGAACATGGTGAAACCCTGTCTCTACTAAAAATACAAAAAAACTAGCCGGGCGAGGTGGCAGGCGCCTGTAGTCCCAGCTACTCGGGAGGCTGAGGCAGGAGAATGGCATGAACCTGGGAGGCGGAGCTTGCAGTGAGCTGAAATCCGGCCACTGCACTCCAGCCTGGGCGACAGAGCGAGACTCCGTCTCAAAAAAAAAAAGAATATAGCAAAATACTGTATGCACAAGCATTCTGTAAGCTTGTAAATGATATTGAAATGATAATCATGTACTGTGCCAAGTTAAATGGATCTGGTTTGCATCTTTGTTGTGCAAACGCTGATCAGTGAGAGCCACTGCTTTCCTCAGCCTAAATGTCAATGTGGACATTGCCACATTGCAGGGTTGTGAAGGGGAATCAGTGAAGACATGTAAAATTGCGTGGTAAATTTCCCATTCCTTAACTAATGTTTATAACGTTGTTTTCTGGGAAGACACTAAGCTAGCTTATAAAATAACCAACAGTGGCAATGCATCTTATTTCTCAAGCCCCCCTTAAAAGGCTACTAAGGTGTGTGTGGAGCTTAACGAGCTACTGGAAGTACAATAGATCGAACTCTACGACCTTTAGAGTTAGATTCCACAGGCAAATTATGATAAGCCTTTTAATCAAAGGAAATTAATCAAAGGAAGATAGAGTAGCCAAATTTGTGGAGTAGTCAGTGTTGCTGTTGACAAGTGGATGTGTCAAGAAGATTGAGCAAATAAAGTAATGGCTTGTGTTTACAGAGTAAGTCAGCTGTGGACCCTTCCACTCTTTCTTTTATTTACTTAGCAGACTGGTATTGAGCGCAACCTAGATGCAGACAGTTCGTATATAAATAAAAGATCTAGCCGGGCATGGTGGCTCATGCCTGTAGTCCCAGCACTTTGGGAGGCCGAGGCAGGCGTATCACAATGTCAGGAGTTCGAGACCAACCAGGCCAATGTGGTGAAACCCCGTCTCTACTAAAAATACAAAAATTAGCAGGCGTGGTGGTGGGCACTTGTAGTCCCAGCTCTTCGGGAGGCTGAGGCAGGAGAATCGCTTTAATCCAGGAGGTGGAGGTTGCAGTGAGCTGAGATTGCACCACTGCACTCCTGCCTGGGTGACAGAGCAAGACTCTGTCTCAAAAAAAAAAAAAGATCTTTGGTGGATTAGGGTGGGGTCAGTGTGATTGGGAGGGAGATAATTCAGAAGAGAACCCAAGTTCCTCCACTCAAGAAGTTTCTGCAGAATAAACCTGGAAAACAGTATTCTTAGATGACATTTATTCTGATTATATTGCCTATAATTAGCACTCAGGTAAAAGAGATTATTTGCAGGGTACAGGTCATAGTTGTGTTTCCTGATTATTATTTGAGTTTTGGCATCACTGCTCTTTGGCCCGTGGGTCTCATATGACCAGAATGAAGAGATTTCATTAGCAAAAAAGAAAAATTATGAAATGTGTTAAATTAATGTTAGAGATTGTTAGAGAATACTACTGCAGTTCTCTTCCAAGAAAATATTCCAAACACAGATTTTATTTTCCCTCTAAAGCATCCAGCCTTTAGTAGTTGCCTTCAAAGGCTATAAGTGTGGTTCAGAAAACTCAGTGGATTCGGCAAGGGTCTTTGCTTTAGTTACAGAAGATTCATTCAAAGGACTTGTTAACCTGGGTACACATACCTTAAGAGGTTTATTTAGAGTCTAGAACCCTCAAGTAACTCCAGCTTAGTATTAAGACCCAACTAAGTTATCTTTTTGTTAGATTCCACAGGCAAATTATGATAAGCCTTTTGTGGGGGCAGGGGGCAGTAGGTACTTGATTTTGTTACACTTGGTTGGCAAACTACTGCCTCAGAGGCAGTTGAAAAATAGAGTATGTAAGAATGAGCAGGCCAGGCACGGTGACTCAACACCTATAATCATAGCACTTTGGGAAGCCGAGGCGGGTGGATCACTTGAGTCAATCATTTGACCAGCCTGGTCAACATGGTGAAATCCCATCTCTACTAAAAATACAAAAATTAGTTGGCTGTGGTGGCATGTGCCTGTATAGTCTCAGCTACTGGGGAGGCAGAGGTGAGAGAATTGCTTGAACCCAGGAGGTGGAGGGAGCCGAGATCGCACCATTGCACTCCAGCCTGGGCCACAGACTCAGACTCCATCTCAAAAGGGGGAAAAAAAAACAAACAAATGAGCACATCTGTGTTCTTGCCCGATCGTACTAAACTGCTGTCTAGGACAGTGGAGGGCTTTGCTATTTTATCTTGTTGGGTCTTGGTTTCCTGGTTAAAAACGGAAGTCTGGGACTATACCCGAGGATCACGTTGATTCCATGTTCTCGTTCTGTGATTTGGATAGTTTTAGGTTTCCCCATAATATTGTGTTCTTTTTCTCTTTTTCTGCTGGGGAGGAGGGGTTCTGTAGCAGCAGGTGTATCCAGGGCTCCTTTAAGAGACAGTTTTTTTTGTTGTGTGTTTGATTTTCTGCCTGTCTAATTTTGGCTTTCTTTTAGATTATTTTATATTCTGGAGACAAAATTTATGATGACTACTATCCAGATCTGAAAGGACGAGTACATTTTACGAGTAATGATCTCAAATCTGGTGATGCATCCATAAATGTAACGAATTTACAGCTGTCAGATATTGGCACGTATCAGTGCAAAGTGAAAAAAGCTCCTGGTGTTGCAAATAAGAAGATTCAGCTGGTAGTTCTTGGTAAGTTATTTTTATTTGCGTTAATGAGTTACTGAGTAAGAGGATGATTAGTCATAGTACCGTAGTAGCAGCATTTGTATAAGACAAAGCTTAATTTTTTAGAATAACAATTTTAAACACTTGACGTTCTTCTGTGTTGGATAGCGTCAAGTATAAAACTAGCTTTTGGTTTTGGATAGGAGAAGAAAGAAGTGATCAACTTTGTGAAATTCATAAGAGTTTGAAAAAAAGTGAGGAGTACTGTGGTATGGAGGAAGAACCCTAAGCCAGGAGTTAGGAGATCTCGGGTTTCTGCCTTGTGCTCAGAATTTGCCCTGAGAATTACGTAGAACCATGTTTCTATGATGAGTAATTTAAGCATTTAGAATGGAGGTGAAGAAATATGGAAGAAGGAATACTGAATTCAAGTAAGGCCATTAGACCACAAGTTATTTAAGCTTCTTGGCATCACTGTTTTTCATCATTAAAGTGAAGAGCTGAGACATTCACTGTGATACCTTATAGCCCTCTCTGTAATAGTTAAGAGGGAGATGGTGTAAACTGCTTTGTAAGCTGTCAAAGACTACAGAGTTTATTATCCTTCTCTAGATTCTGTGATAATGTCTACAAGCACTCTTAATCCCTTCAAATTGAGAAACTGAAAGATGATAGTTCATAAATATACTTCTAAAACCATACCGTGATAAGCTTTACACAAAATGTACAGTGGCTACCATGTAGAAAAACATAGCTGTCTAGCTTTCTATTTTATGACAGTAAATTCCCCTGTTCTCATGTTTTAGGGGACACTTGGGGATTGACTTTCATAGGAAAAGCTGATTGCTAGAATTGTCTAGCATGACTGGAAATAACTGATCAGGGCAGGCCTCCCACATCAACATTTACCTCATTCCTTCTGTTTAGAGAACTGATTAGGGCTAGGGTAGAATATTCTGAAGAATACTCTTTATTTTTATTTTATTTTATTTGAGATGGAGTCTTGCTCTGTTGCCCAGGCTAGAGTGCAGTGGCACAATCTCTGCTCACTACAGCCTCTGCTTCCCGGGTTCAAGTGATTCTCCTGCCTCAGCCACCTAGGTATCTGGGATTACAGGCATGCACCACCATGCCTGGCTAATTCTTGTATTTTTAGTAGAGACAGGATTTCACCATGTTGGCCAGGCTGGTCTCAAACTCCTGACCTCAGGTGGACCACCGGCCTCGGCCACCCAGAGTGCTGAGATTACAAGAATACTCTTTAGAAGAGCAATGTTCGAGGTGACTTGGGCACCCAACACTTAACCACTCCTCCTACAAGTAGACCCAGTGCTTAACTCTTACTGCTAGAGACTAGGAACACGAGTGGGGCTTTTTGTGTACCTTCATGGCAAATTCATGGGTTATCTTGGTAGATAGGGTTTGCTGGCAGCATCATTGAATGGGGACCTGAAGGGGTCCTGGTGAAATGCATCATTCTGAATCGCACTAGCTAAAAATGTTTCTTGTGGTGTAAAAGTAAGTCAATCTGAAAAAGGAACCAGGATAAAGGAATATGGTAATGTTGGAAATTTGAATGTTCTGTGTCTTCATTGAGTTAACATGGAGTAACTTTTCTTTTTTGTAAATGTGTAAGCAAGTGAAAGATGAACACCTGGTCTGAATTCTTATCACAGACCCAGGAATTCCTGAGATCATAGCCCCGACTATACTTTCTTCCAACACTGCTCTCTAGGAAGTATTGAGTTGGAAAATGTATACGGAATATTAAGGGGTTCATGATATACGAAGCAGAAGATGTTTGATTATCAGAATGATTTATTGTGAAACCCCTATATGCTGGGACAGGTACACTGGGATAATGGGGTTGGCACATATTCCCAGAAGAGTTGTGGACAAGCGTGTGTGTGTGTTTGTGTATTGTCTGGATCCTGTGGGACCAGATTCAGGGTCACATTTGCAGTTCTCAGCTGAAGAGACCATTACAGCATGCAGCAGAACATTTCCCAAAAGGAACCTGAGTTGGGTGGCAGGGATGGCCCATAATGTGGTCTCAGTTCACTCATGGCAGGATCTGTGACTGCTCAGCCGTAGGAGTGGCCTTTTTATATTGAACTTTGAACCCTAGCATGTCCTAAGAATGGGAAAGTGGGAAGCACTGACACAGTTCACCCTGAGTTACTCCTCGGGAGAATTTTTTAGCCCAGTGAGCCTTGGATTCAAACCAGGGAGGGAAGGAGGGGATAAACTGGGGATGACAGGAGAAAGCAGGGAAGTGATTGCCGAAGAGAAGTAGGGACGGCTGGTACTGTGATCTGGACGAGATTGTGTCGGAGCCAGATAATTTCTTGTGGCTCTTTCTTCCATGTTTTTAGATGAGTCATGACTGCTGCTGGGAGAAACCACCAGAATTGTATTCTCTTGAAGGTAAAAATTGGATTGAAGCTTGTCTGTTAGTTTTGCCTGGAAATTCTGCCTGGATTATCTGGGGCGAAAGATAAGATGAAGTGCCCTCTAGTGACCCAACTAAGTGGTGGTCCCTGGAGCTGGTTTGATTCACTGATGGTAGCTCTGCCTAGTGCTTTGGTTCTTTTGTGGGAAATCTGAAGTGGTTGCCATCATGGCATTCACAGGGTAATGACAGTTCATTCATTGAGCTTCTGTGTTATGTGGTCATTATTAGCCCGGAGAGATGACTGTTAGTCGTCTGGATGTGAGGGGCAGCATGTTGCTGTAGCTGTAGCTTGCTCCGTTGCCATGCCTGCCTTGCTCTTTCAGACACAGCAGAAGCTCATGTGGATGCGGCTCAGTAAAGAAGTGGAAGTGGGAAATAACAAAGATAATTGATAGAAGGTTACTGTTGTGGCCACCTATCACGGGCACCTTCCCCTGGAGCTCTGAAAGGGCCTGTTTATTGAAACCTTTTGGTATAAAGAGACAGTTGTTTTGAAGAGCAGAACATGCACAGTAAACAATTCCTGGACATACATGGTACACTCCCACTGCACCATGCCACCAGATCACAGTGGCAACAGCAAGTGTAGTGGCTCCGTCATCACTGGCCTTAAAGGTCCTAAGGGATTTGCAAACCATTGATACAGGGCACGGCCCCTCACTACTTTTTATTTCGAAATAATTTTTAGTTTTGTAGAAAAGTTGCAAAAATATGAGGAAGTTTCTGAGAGTGGACCCATCATCTAATTTCCCCTAATGTTAACATCTTAGAAAATCATATTATAATCATCAAAACCAAGAAATTATCATTGATACAATACTATTAACTAAATTACAGACCCAGTTTGAATTTAACTGTTTTCCAGTAATGTCCTTTTTGTACTAGGATTGCATCTGGAATCCACATTGCATTTATATCTCCTTAATCTCCTCCAGTCACGTCCGGGGACACATGATGTCATGTCTTATTGTTAATCGTGATCACTTGGTTTAGGTTTTATCTGATGGGCTTCTTCACTCTAGAGTTATTATTTTTCCCTCTGTAATTAAAAAATGTCTTGGGGGAGCTACTTCGAGACCATGCAAATATGTTGTTTCTCATTTAACTTTTGCCTGTCGATTTTAGCATCTATTGATAGATTTTGCCTGGAGTCAGGGCATTTTGAACTCATCAGAAATTGTATTTCTTGGAAAGATGACATCATGATAAAAGTATCCCCTGTCTCATGTAGGGATTTAGAGAGTATTTCCAGTAGACTGGTGTAGCCACTAGCCTGGAAAGATGATGAAGTAATACATGTATGGAGCAGAGCATTACTAAATTGGTGGGATACCGTGTCCAGCTACAACTCGATGGTCACATACCCTTATCTGAGAAGGACTGTTGGTTGTGTTAGTGATCATGGAGGCAGATGTTCTGCGGACAATGACCAGTATGTGGGAAGCGCAGACCAAAGAAACATTTAGGGGACAAGACTTTATTGGTGCTCTCTTTGTGGTTTTCTTCTGTTCCAGCAGAGTACCGTGGATTAAGAATTAATCTTCCTCATAGTATAATGGTTAGATGTTGTCATGTAAAAGACTTATACTTTCTCTTCCCAGTGGAAAGTAGGTAGGTCGTTCCAAAGTGTCATTCAGAAACCTGTGTTGTTAGAATCTTGTTTTATTGTGGATGGGTTGTAGTGAGGCCCTGAATTTCCCAGCAGCAGTTTTAAATAAACTATCCGTTATTAGATATGTTTAGCTTGCTGGTTATATGGGAGAAAATGGGTATAGAAAGGGTGAGGGTTAGAGTTAGAATACCATATTACCCATAGATGTTTGATGCACAAAGCGTTGCATCAGTTACTTATTTGCTGGTAATTTATTCTAATAAAGGATTTATTGGTAGTTTGAAGAAATGGAAGAGAACAAGGCTCATTTCATTGAAGACTCCCAGGATGAAATAATTTGCAAAACTTATTTAAAAGTCCAATTGATGTAGTCTCCAGAGCACCTGGTCAGATTGCTTGGAAAAATCAACAGTGCAGTTAAATATGTGTTGACCCTTATTTTAAAAATGTAACTAGTAGCAGATGAAGGGGAATACAATTAAATTTGTTAAGGAGCTACTAAGAAGGAGTAAGGTCATGGTTGACAACCTTAGTTGAAGATACCCCACTGAATATGACAAATCATGTTGAGCCAGTTTTGGGAAACAATTTTACAATTTCTTACAGTGTTAAAATATGTACAGTCACCATATGATCCAGCAGTTACTAAGACAAAGGAAAGCATACGCCAGTGTTCACATGAGTGTTCAAGCGGCGTTGTTCATACTGCAAAAGTGTAAAATGCATTTGCCTTTATTCATAGTGGTAAAAGAATAAAAACCCATTCATGACTGAAAAGATGAAAATCAGCTTAAACTAAAAAAGAAAAAAACAGTCTTGACATTTATCAGCCAGAAAGACAGATACGGATTAAAGTCAGCCACAGAGTTTATAGAAAACATGTGTCTTGCAAAGACGTAGAGCAGTGGTAAAGCATAGACTATTGCTGTCTTCCGAATGTTGCCCCCAGACCCACATTGCACTACCCATCCTTTACTGGAATACTCAGTTACTAAATGGCCCCACCTCCTCACAGCTCTCACTTCCTGTTTAATCCGCATTTTTCCTAATCTCAGAAACAACTGATTGAGAGCTGATGGCTACTTCCTTAGAACCTCCTCAGAATCCTTACAGCATCCCTGCTCTTGTCCAGTGGCATTCCCTGGTTCCTCATAATGCGTTCCTCTCTGGCCAACCTGATTTTGATAGACTACATACTCCTTGTCGGTTTCGCTAACTAGGCTTTAACAGTAGCCCCAAACTGGAAACACAATCTTCATTAACGGGTGACTGGATAAGCCAACTTGTGTTATAGTCATTCATTGAAATACTAAAGTAGCTATATAGACAATAACATGGCTCAGTCTCAGAAATGTTATGCTGAATAAAAGAAGACAAAAAAGTACCTACTGTAGTATTCTATTCATGGGATTCCAGACGAAGAACTAATCCACAGTGGTAGGAATCTGATCAGTGGCTGCCTGGGTCTGGCGTTTTGAAGTCACATCTATTGTAACCAGCATGAGGGATCTTTCTTGGGAGAGGGTTGGAGTGATGCTTAATGGATATAGAAACATTTATTAAAAGTAATCAACCCACATGATTAGCATGTGAACTTTATTGTGTGAATATTATACCTTATTAAAGTTCAGCAGAAGAGTATGCAGTGCCAGGGTGTTCATCCACCAGGGCTGCGGTGAGCTGTTGCAGGTAATGGAGTTAGTAGCCGTTCTAAACAGTTACCCAGGAACACCTGGAATATAACCTCAGATTTCCTTTTTTAAAAAAGTATTAAATATTCTTTTTTACACATGAATTTCCAGGCTGTGAATATCTTTGATTCAAGATCTGGTTGTGTCACCTAGGCTGGAGTGCAGTGATGTGATCAGAGCTTCACTGCAGCCTCTAAATCCTGGTCTCAAGCCATCCTCCTACTCCAGCCTCCTGAGTAGCTAGGACCACAGGCACACATCACCACACCCCACTCATTCTTCAAAGTTTTTATAATGACAGTCTCGCTGCGTTATCCAGGCTGGTCTCAAATTCCTGACCTCAAGTGATCCCCCCACTGCCTTGGCCTCCCAAAGTGCTGGGATTACACTATGCCCAGCCCAGGTTTTCTTTTTTGTAGCCGGCTCTTCGTATGGATTTGAGTTGATGTAAATGCAGAATGCTAGTTGTTCTTTGCTACAGTTAAGTGTTAGTACCTGAGTTGATGTAAATGCAGAATGCTAGTTGTTCTTTGCTACAGTTAAGTGTTAGTATTGTTGATGATAAACTGCCTGATTGTCAGGGTTATGGCACCTAGAGGGTTGTGACTTGATACGGACTGTCAGAGGGCTACATGTCAAGCATGGGGAAGAATAGCTGAGGAATGGAAGGGGGAGCTTCCTTGACTCTCAAGTGGTCTTGCCGTAAAAAGCAAGTGCATCATTCTTGCTTTTTTTCAGGTGTGCCCCATGAAATGGACAGGCACCGAGCTATGCCTGAGATATTGCCGTATCTACTAATGCAGTGGCTGCTTGTGTGAGCTTATTCTGTGCTGTTTTGTGTCAGATAAAACTGAATAAACTGATGTTGATCACTTACTGTGGTCTTTCATTCTTTTGTGAATTCTGAACCCAGAACCAACTGATAATGAGTCAGTGGTTGTGTACAATGCTGTATTCGTAAAAGTAAGTTCCGTTCTCTTATGTAAATTTATAATTCATTTTCTTTTTCAGTGAAGCCTTCAGGTACAAGATGTTACGTTGATGGATCAGAAGAAATTGGAAGTGACTTTAAGCTAAAATGTGAACCAAAAGAAGGTTCACTTCCATTACAGTATGAGTGGCAAAAATTGTCTGACTCACAGAAAATGCCCACTTCATGGTTAGCAGGTACTGCTGATAATAGTATTGGTACCAGGTGCCATTGATTTGGACTAAAATCTAGTAGGGGGTGTGTGTGTGATTTGAGATAGGGCCTTGCTCTGTCACCCAGGCTCACTGCAGTCACTGTTCACTGCAGCTTCGACCTCCTAGGCTCAAGTCATCCTCCCACCTCAGCCTCCCAAGTAGCTGGAACTAGAGGTGCATGCCATCACACCCCGCAAAGTATTAAAAAACATTGTTGTAGAGGCAGGATCTCCCTGTGTTGCCTGTGCTGGTCTCAAACTCCTGGGCTCAAGGAGTCCTCTTTCCCTGGCCTCCCAAAGTGCTGGGATTACAAGCATGAGCCCAGGCATGTGCCCCGCCTGCTTATATATTTCAGATTCCCAAATGCTTGCTTTCCCCTCTCTGCATAGAGTAAATAGGATTTCCATGGGAATTATTCAGGGTTTTATAATATCAATTTAGTGTCGTATATTATAAAGGAAGAGCTATTCTATGATTTCATTTTTTAGGATATTATAATTAGTTACTTTGGTGGTTTTTTTTCTTTTCTTTTTTTTTTTTTTTTTGTTGAGACAAGGGGTCTTGCTCTGTCACCTAGGCTGGAGTGCAGTGGCAGGATCTCGGCTCCCTGCAGTCTTCACCTCCCAGGCTCCAATGATCCTCCCACTTCAACCTCCTGAGTAGCTGAGACTACAGGCATGTGTCACCATACCCTGCTAATTTTTGTATTTTTTGTAGAGATGGAGTTTCTCCATGTTGCCCACACTGGTCTCAACCTCCTGGGCTCAAGCTCTCTTCCCCCCACAGCCTCCCAGAGTATAAGCGTGAGCCATTGTGCCTGGCCAATTTCTTTTTTTAACTGATGAGAAATGTTCATGATTATAACTTAGATGGTGGCTAAAGTAGAGTAAGAGTTGGATCTTTAGTGCTTCGACTAGGTTTAAAATATAGTAATTTACCCATGGCTTGTCTATAAATTAAAAGCAAACCCATGTGACACTAACTAGAAAGTTACAAATTGGCCAAATCTGTTCACCCATTTGTTACAATTGACTTCCTAGTTCAAACTGATTACCAGGCTCCACCCCACCATCCACTGCATCCTGGTCTTTAGTAGGTTTTCTCTCTGCCTCTATTTTTTTCAAACTCAGAGACCAATCTGGAAGTCGTCTTCTGACTTCCTTTTGTATGTTTCTTCCATCTAGTGGGGAATAAAATAGGTTTTGTATGTTTTCCTGCTGCATGAGAGATCCTCTGTGGGATGCCATAGTGTTTGTAGTCTGATGTACCCCAAGATGGGTTTGCAGCAGCTACACAGTGGACCAACACGCCTGCTCCAGCCGAGGCTCTGTGGTGCAGGGGGTCATGGCTACTTTCACCTTGATACACATGAACTGGAAGCATGATTGTTTGAATTCTGGAAACATCTGTGTGGCTCAGTGCCAGTTTGTTTGCATCCAGTCTTGGTCTGTCTTGCTTTTAACTGGATTGTCAAATTTGATAAGGGCTACGTTTACTAACACCTGATAACAGTACATACTATAAAATGAGTTTATTTTCTTTTTCCTCCTTCCATAGAAATGATGTTATCTGTTATATCTGTAAAAAATGCCTCTTCTGAGTACTCTGGGACATACAGCTGTACAGTCAGAAACAGAGTGGGCTCCGATCAGTGCCTGTTGCGCCTAAACGTAGTCCCTCGTAAGTATCTTCTTTCTGTTGGTGGTTTTGTTTCTGTTATCTTTATACCACCTCCTTTAGTTCAGTCAGCAAATGTGTATTAAGGGCAAGGGGACACTGACTTTGATCAGAACACTGTGGTTTGATTATTAGCTTTTCTAGAAAAATGTATTTTATTTAAAAAAACTTCATAATTGCAATGATATATTAAGAAGGTAAGAGTTGTCAAATCAACCCTTGTACTGTGTTTAACTATTATGTTGAGTAGCTTAGAACACTCTTATGTGTTAACCAAGATAGCTTTGAATATTAAAATCTTTCAGACAGGTTTTATCATTTTAATGCTTGAAATAGATTATACAGTTCAGAAGACAGTTCTTTTAATGAATTTTTTCCCCGAATCAAAAAGACTAATTTGTCTCCTAAAGTTAATACATGTGATGAAATCAATAAAAAAATGTGTAGCCTACCTTCAATATCTATACGTGTGTGTGTATATATATTTTTGTTTGTTTGTTTGTTTGTTTACTATTAATTCTTCTTATTTTAGCTTCAAATAAAGCTGGACTAATTGCAGGAGCCATTATAGGAACTTTGCTTGCTCTGGTGCTCATTGGTCTTATCATCTTTTGCTGTCATAAAAAGCGCAGAGAAGAAAAATATGAAAAGGAAGTTCATCACGATATCAGGTAATGAAGTGAGACAGGAGTTGACTGATGTATACCAAACATATGTCATGTCTCTAAAGCATTAGTTCTCTTATTAACCACCCGAAGCATCTTTCTTAGGAGAAGGGATAAAGCTTTGGCCCCGTTTTTCTCAATACATTTGAAAGCATTTACTTTTAACTCCAAGTGCAGAGCTCCAACCACCATTCATCGTGCCCCGCTCCCCAACCTTCTTGTACCCCATTTTAAGAGCCACTGCGGGCCGGGCGCGGTGGCTCAAGCCTGTAATCCCAGCACTTTGGGAGGCCGAGACAGGCGGATGACAAGGTCAGGAGATCGAGACCATCCTGGCTAACACGGTGAAACCCCGTCTCTACTAAAAAATACAAAAAACTAGCCGGGCGAAATGGCGGGTGGAGCCTGTAGTCCCAGCTACTCGGGAGGCTGAGGCAGGAGAATGGCGGGAACCTGAGAGGAGGAGCTTGCAGTGAGCTGAGATCCGGCCACTGCACTCCAGCCTGGGCCACAGAGCAAGACTCCGTCTCAAAAAAAAAAAAAAAAAAGAGCCACTGCGAAATGATTATCTCAAGACTGCCTGCCTTTTTGAGAAGAATTCCCACCTGCAGTGGGAGGGATGAAGCCTTCAAAAAATAAAGCGGATATTGAGGTTGGGAAAAAAAAAAAAAATCTGACCTGATTGTATCAGGTAATCTGGTAGTTTGTAGAACGATTGGTGGTATAATTTTTATTTTCCTTAAATATTATAAATCAGAAGGTCTTAACGAGAAGTGTGCATATTCGATAATAGAACTTTAGAAAGTAGTAACACATGACTTCACACCCTAGAAATTGACATTTGGTAGATCTGGGGTGGGGTCTGGACACCTGTGCAGGGACACTTCAGAGCTATTGTGGGTTTGGTTCCAGACCACCGCAATAAATCACACGAATGTTTTTGTTCTTCCGGTGCACAAAAGGTTATGTTTATGCTATATTATAGTGTAAAGTGTGCCATAGCATCATGTCTAAAAAAGCAGTGTAGATACCCCAATTAAAAAAGACTTTATTGCTAAAAAATGCTAATGACTGAGCCTTCAGTGAGTCCTAATCTCTCCGCTGGTGGAAGGTCTTACCTCAGTGTTGATGGCTGGTGGCTGATCAGGATGCTAGTTACTTAAGGTTGGAGTAGCTATGGTAATTTCTTTCTTTCTGTGGTGGTTGAGTTTTTCTCTTGTTTGTCTGTTTTCCGAGACAAGGTCTCATTCTCTGTTGCCCAGGCTGGAGTGGAGTGGTGCAGTTATGGCCCACTGCAACCTCTGCCCCCTGGGTTCCGGTGAGCCTCCCACCTCAGCTTACCGAGTAGCTGGGACTGCAGGCATGAGCCACCACACCTGACTAATTCGTGTAGTTTTTGTAGAGATGGGGTTTCACCATGTTGCCAAGGCTGGTCTCCAACTCCTGGGCTGCATTAGCTCCTACCAAGAATGTCAACCTGTCCTTTAAAGCTTTGAAACCAGACACTGACGTCTTTAGCCATTAAAGGCCTAGATGGTGTCTTCTTCCAGTAGAAGTCTGTTTTGTCGCTATTGAAAATCTGTTACTTAGTGTAGTTACCTTCATCAACGCTCTTTTAACTAGATCCTCTGAGTAACTTTCTGTTGCTTCAGTTTGTATTCTTATGTTATGGAAATGACCTTTTGCCCTAATCTCATTAACCAGCCTCTGCTAGCTTCCAGCTTGCTTTATGCAACTGCCTTAGCTCTCTCGGCCTTGATAGAATTGAAGAGAGTTAGGGCCTTGCTCTGGATTGGGCTTTGGTGTAAGGGAATGTTGTGACTATTTTGATCCTCTATCCAGACCACTAAACTTTCTCCATATCAGCAATAAGACTGTTTCGCTTTCTTACCATTCACGTGTTCACTGGAGTAACACTTTGACTTGACTTTAAGAACTTTTTCTTTGCATTTACAATTTGGCTTGGCTGTTTGGTGCAAGAGACTAGCTTTCAGCCAGTCTCACTAAGGTTGATTATTTCTGGGTTTGATTTAAAGAGAGCCCTGCTGGTGATTGCTTGGGTCCAGGAGTTTGAGCTTGCAGTGAGCTGTGATCGCACCACTGCACCCTAGCCTGGTTGACACATCGAGACTGTCTCAAAATAAATAAAAGTTTTCTAAAAAGTAGAACTATGATAACTATTCCTTTTACTTGAACACTTAGAGGTCATTGTAGTGTTATTAAGTGGCCTAATTTCAATATTATTGTGTCTTAGGGAATAGGGAGGCCTGAGGGAGGGGTGAGAGAATAGGAGGGTGGTTGGAGGAGATGGCCAGAACACACACGACATTTATTAAGTTTGCTGTCTTATATGGGCATAGTTCATGCTGCCCCAAAACAAATTAAAATAGTAACATCAAAGATCACTGATCACAGATCACCCTAACAGGTATGATTATGAGAAAGTTTGAACTGTTGTGAGAATTTCCAAAACGCAACACAGACATGAAGTGAGCAGATGCTGTTGGAAAAATGGTACAGGTACATTTGCTTGACACAAGGGTACCACACACCTGCAATTTGTTAAAAAAAAAAAAACATGCCATAAGTATCTTTGAAGTGTGATAAAAGCAAGGCACAATGAAACGAGCACGCCTGTATTTTTTAAATGCACCAAAGATAACTCAGATACACAGTTATTCTTCGGTATCCATGGAGGACCTCCTGCAGATACCAAAATCCAAGGATGCTCAAGTCCCTGATATAAAATGGCGGCCAGGCGCAGTGACTCACGCCTGTAATCCCAGGACTTTGGGAGGCCAAGATGGGAGGATCATTTGAGCCCAGGAGTTCAAGACACCAACCTGAGCAAGATGGCAAGAACCTGTCTCTATCTTAAAAAAAAAAAAAAAGAAAAGAAAAAGATACAAAATGGCGTACTGTTTGTATATAACCTGCACACATTCTTGTGTATACTTCGAGTCATCTCTAGATCACTTATAATACCTAATGTAAATGCTATGTAAATGATTGTTATAATGTGATGTTCAGGGAATAATGACAACAAAAAATCTGTACAGGTTAGGTACAGACAATATTTTTTAAAAAATAATTTTCTATACATGGTTTGTTGGCTTCACAGATGTGGAACCCATGATTATGGAGGGCCAGTTGAGCTCTCTATCAGTGTTTGGTATGAAAATTCTTAGGCTTAAATTCCCAGCAAACTTAAATCTGTAGTGTTTTCAGCTGAGGTTTCAGATAACTTTAATACAAAAATGATATTTTCTCTTCTTTTAAAAATTTTTTATATTTATCATTTATTTATTTTTTTGAGACAGAGTCTCACTCTGGCACCCAGGCTGGAGTGCCATGGTGCAATCTCGGCTCACTTAAACCTCCGCCTACTGGGTTCAAGTGATTCTCCTGCCTCAGCCTCCCGAGTAGCTGGGATTACAGGCACCTGCCACCAAGCCCAGCTAATTTTTGTACTTTTAGCAGAGATGGGGTTTTGCCATATTGGCCTGGCTGTTCTTGAACTCCTGACCTCAAGTGACCTCCACCCGCCTTGGCCTCCCAAAGTGCTGGGATTACAGGCGTGATTAAGATAGAAATATATTTGTAGGTGTTAGTGTTTTCTCAACTATAAAGTGTTACATGGCTGTAATTAGATTATCTTGACCAGTGATACTAGAATATGAATGATTTGAGATTTGTGTTTTGTAGGACAACATTCTAGAATCATCTACATTTGTGTAAACACCATATTTTATTAAGTGTGAAGTCATTAATCACAATGACAGATTGGGGACAGATGCAGAATTTATGATGTTATGGCTTGCACTTTTTGCTTTTTTGTGACACGCATACACACACACACTTTTATATGTTTGGTACCTAAATACCGGCTCTTATCCATGCTTCATAGCTTACATAATTGTAGGTTTTTAGAAATTTATTCTCTTGACATGTATTGGGGATTTTGCTTTCCAGGGAAGATGTGCCGCCTCCAAAGAGCCGTACGTCCACTGCCAGAAGCTACATAGGCAGTAATCATTCATCCCTGGGATCCATGTCTCCTTCCAACATGGAAGGATATTCCAAGACTCAGTATAACCAAGTACCAAGTGAAGACTTTGAACGCACGCCTCAGAGTCCGACTCTCCCACCTGCTAAGGTAGCTGCCCCTAATCTAAGTCGAATGGGCGCGATTCCTGTGATGATTCCAGCACAGAGCAAGGATGGGTCTATAGTATAGAGCCTCCATATGTCTTGTCTGTGCTTTCCATGTTCCTTTCCTTTTTTTGATATGTGAAAACCTATTCTGGCCTAAATTTTGTTCCTAGCCTCAAAATATATCAAAAAATAATCAGGAACTGTAAGGAATATATTTTTTAAAATTTTTGTTTGGTTATATTGAAATAGTTACAGGTATTAAAGTTAGTAAAGACAAGTTTACCATCTGAAAAAGCTGGATTTTCTTTAAGAGGTTGATTATAAAGGTTTCTAAATTTATCAGTACCTAAGTAAGATGTAGCACTTTGAATATGAAATCATAGGTGAAGAAATTGGTGAACTTGCTTGCATACCAAGTTGATACTTGAATAACCATCTGAAAGTGGTACTTGATAATTTTTACCATTATTTTTAGGATGTGTATCTCATTTATTTATGGCCCACCAGTTTCCCCCAAATTAGTGCAGAAGCATCCATGACAAAATTACTTATGTATGTTTGTACTTGTTTTTATAGCTCCTTGGAAAACTCTTGCGTTTGGAATATCTCTAAAAACATAGAAAACACTACAGTGGTTTAGAAATTACTAATTTTACTTCTAAGTCATTCATAAACCTTGTCTGTGAAATGACTTCTTAAATATTTAGTTGATAGACTGCTACAGGTAATAGGGACTTAGCAAACTTTTATATGCTAAAGGAGCATCTATCAGATTAAGTTAGAACATTTGCTGTCAGCCACATATTGAGATGACACTAGGTGCAATGGCAGGGATAGATTTTGTTGGTGAATAGTCTCATGCCTTGAGATCTGTGGTGGTCTTCAAAATGGCGGCCAACCAGATCAAGGATGTAGTATTTCATAGTTCCCAACTAAATACTGGCTTTCCACTTTAGGTGATATTTTTATTAGAAAAATATTATAACTCATTTATTGTTTGACAATTATAGATTGAAATTTCCTAATTTATTCTAAATTTTAAGTGGTTCTTCGGTTTCAGTGCTTTATGTTGTTTGCTGTTTTTGGATGGTGTTACATATTATATGTTCTAGAAACACGTAATCCTAAATTTACCCTCTTGAATATAATCCCTGGATGATATTTTTATCATAAATGCAGAATAATCAAATACATTTTAAGCAAGTAAGTGTCCTCCATCAATTCTGTATTCCAGACTTGGGAGGATGTACAGTTGCTGTTGTGTGACCAAACATGTCTTTGTGTAGTTCTGGCAAATCAAGCTGAGCTTCAAAAATGTTTGAGTCGTAGTTTTGTGAAAGTGATTTATTCTTAAAAAAAAAAGAAAAAAGAAAAAGAAAAAAAGATAAGAAAAAGGAGTTAAGGGACTACTCCTCCTTGCCAAATGTGCTAAATATCATTGTAGGAGAAGAAAGTGGATTTATTGTATTTCCCTTAAGATTGTGAGGGAGTGTGGATATAGTAGAATGAGCCAACAGTCTCTTTATAATAAATACGGTCTGCAATAAATTCTTTCACTAGCTCTAAAACCTTTCCCTAGATTTTAGTAGGGAGTTGGTTTCTGTTAATATCTTTGGGTGCTGTGGTGGTAAATGCTACATTATAAACGGTGGCATGTATTTACGGTTAGAGTATTGTGTGTACACTTTTTAATGGTAAACTTAAGCTGAATGTGTAATGGATTTGTGTATAGTTTTACATATTTGGAAGCATTTTAAAAGTAGGTTTTAACCTTACATAAAATTACTTTTATACTTGTGTTAACATTTTCATCTGTGCCTTTTGGGTAATTTAATTTCTATTATGAATTTCTGGTGCCTATGAGCTAGCTATCACCTACCTGAAAGGTGCTTAGAGGTGAAGGTACTGTTTCTAAAAACACATCACTGTGACACCTTTCTATCCTCACATTTCCAAGCTTGCCTCTTTTCTGTTCTTTGTGCATATCACTTAAGCGATTGTGTTATTCATAAAGATTTAGAAATTTCAATATTCCCAACACTCTGACTATGTTTCTGGTTTTATAACAGTAGCCATTTTTGAATGTCAGATGTTCGGCCTGTTTTATATGAATAAAGTTTATTTATAAAGTATTATAAAAAGTAAATAAACAGAACATTAATAATAAAATTTTGGTTCTTCCTATTCCTGACTTTCATATAATGAACATTATCCTATTGATCTAAGTAGAAGTTGTAGAAAGTGGACACGTATAAGACTTTCCTTCCTTTTTTTTTTTAATAACACATGAGGAACAAGACTTTTCTTCCCATATATTTCATATTTTAGAGGACATTGTTTTATAGGCTTACGTCTCACTGTAAAATTCTGTCAGCCAAAGAGTACTGATAAATTTTCAAGTAGTTCTCGCTGATAATTTCAGTTGAACCAGAGATCAAATATTTGCTCCCGAATTGCTATTGGTAATCAAGTAGTTGAACAAAAAATTACTAAAGCATTTCAGTTAGATCAGTCAAGGACAGTACTGCATCTTAATAGCAAAGCCATTTGATTCTACCTTATAACTGAGAGACTTGATACTATCCATCTCTGTAGGTTACAAAGGATAATTTGAAGAGAAATGATACTTTCGAATATATAGTTCTGTACATTTTTTGTTTTTTTTAAAGAGATGGGGTTTCACTGTGTTGTCCAGGCTGGTCTCAAACTGCTGGGCTCAAGAGATCCTCCTGCCTCGGCCTCCCAAATTGCTGGGATTACAGGGGTGAGCCACAACATCCAGCCAGTTCTGTGCTTTGAATATGGAGTCCTTTACAGCTATTTTTTTTCTTACTGGCAATCTTAACTAATATTATTCCCTTATTAGAGAGCCTCTCACTCCCCCACCCCCTAAAATGTCTGTTATTCATGACAGTAACCAATTATTCTGGACAAATTCCTTCCTTTTAATTTGAGCTATCTGCCATGGACTTTCTAAAATAGAAACACAGCCCGAGTGTATCTTAGGGAGAGTGGGATTGAAAAAATCCAAATCACTATCCATATAGATCATGGATATAAAGAGATACCTGATTTTTATTAAAAAGATACTTTTTAAAATTTGAGAGTTAATCTTGGAAATTTGGAACAAGTAAAGGGGCAAGTAAACATTTTGATTAAATATCAAAGGAACTCATTGCATGAAGGTGACTATCAAATTCTGTGATGTGTGGCTTCTTAAAAATATTCTCAGTGTCTTGTGTGTGCGTGCGGCATGTACATTTGATGTTATGTGAATGTTAAGAGTTTTTTCTTCTAATTTTCACTTCAGCAGTGTTTAGGGCTTTCAGATGCCTTATTCCAGTGTGAACAGAAAAAGTTCGTATTTTATGTGGTTAATGCTTTGATGTGTCACATAAAGAGTAGTTTGTAGAAAATGTTGGCACAATTTTAACTTCTTAGTGGCTTGTGACATTATATTATATATATATATGTACATATATCTTTATAACATTCCTGTGTTTAGTAGTGTAAATGTTCTGGGCAAGTTTTAATATTTTGAATGCCTTTGGATATTCCAGCAGCAAAGGCATTATGTTCTGCAATAGGATTTCTTACTCATTTACCTATTTTAACACTAAGATAGGCCATAACTGAGCACAAATTCCTTTTATAAATGTCATAGAAGCAGGGAAGAATAATAAACAAATGTGTGAATTGTGGTTCAGTTTGTTTATCTTTCGGGAAGGCTGATCATTTATCTTATAGCAGATAACACCAGCCTCTTATTCATTAAGGTTAACTTTTGTAAAGTATCTTATTTTATAATTTAAGAATATAGTACATATCAGTTGGGTTTGGTTTTAGTCATCGAGACTAAAAGTTCCATCAAAACAGAACTTCGTGTTTTCTGCTAACTTATTTAATGACACGAGTTTTAAGAGAACCACAATTCATTGATTCACTTATTCTTTTCCCTAATTGTGAATTTTAGTGATAAATACACTTGTACTACTGAGAAAAATATTTTGACACTCCACGTGTGCAAAGTATAGAATTGATAGTGTCAGTTTCAGATTTTGTATGTATGATTTCTGGCTTATATATCCAATGGTGCAGATTTTGAAATTTGTAAGAACAAAATTTGTTAAGAAAAACAACTTGCTCTAGTTTTGTGACCTTGTGTACTTTTGAAATAAAATCGAGAAAGCATTTCTCTGCCTCATGGTGTGGCTTTATTGTGCCTTTTATACAAATGTCCGCTAAAGCTTCAGTATTTTATTCCTCCCTGCTTGCTGTGTCATGGTTTCCTTTCCCCCCGTGCATCCTCTAAACAGAAAGAATAAAGATTGCAACAGTCATATTAATACATCGTTGAAAACATGTCAAGCATACAGACCAAAATCTCCCCATTCCTGTGTGCTTATATAATAGTATATAATATTTGGGGTTCTGTGATCATTTCAGAATTTACAGTATAAACGCAAACATTTTTCAGATACATTGCCGAATGTGTGTGTATATACACAGATATGAGGCTGGGAAGTCAAAGATCAAGGCACTGGCAGATTTAGTGGCTGGTGAGAGCTTACCGTCTGTATCAAAGATGGCGCCTCTTGCTGTATTCTCACATGACAGAAAGGAGGAAAGGGAGCTTCCTCTAGCCTCTTTCATAAGGGCCATTAATGCTATTCATGAGAGTAGTGTCCTAATGACTTGATCACTTCCCAAAGGGGCCCCACATCTGAGTGCTATCACGTTGGGTATTAAGATTTCAACATATTGGTGAGATTTGGGCTTCTGGCTAATAAAATATATATCAACATAAGAATTTTAGGGAGGCACAGATATTCGAACCAAAGTAACATCTCATTTTGGCTTAAAGTATTTTCATTGACTATAAATGTTGATTTCAGGAAAAACCAGAATGGGCTATTGATGCTACTGTAAGAAGCATGTTGAGGAATATTTTGTTTATACCAGGGTTTCTCAACCTCGGCACTATTAACATTTTGGGCTGGATAATTCTTTGTTGTAGGGGACTGTCCTGTGCGTTGCAAGATGTTTGGCAGCGGCCCTGGCTTCCACCCACTGGGTATCAGTAGCACCCTGGCCCCCCCACCAGCATGCCCACCACAGTTGTGATGATAAAAAGTATTTCCAAACATTACCAAATATCTCCCCTGGGGTCAGAGGCAAATCACCTCCTTTTGAGAACCACTGATTTATACTGATGTGAAATTTTCTACTCAAGGATTAAAAGGTGAAGAGCACAGGACATAGTGCTAGAAGGCACAGGACATGCTTAAATACCACTTATTACTAGTTGCTTCACTTTGCTTCAGTTTCCTAGTGCTTCAAATGGTACAAAATACCTACTTTACAGGGGATGTTGGAAGATTTCAAAGAGATAGAATTGATACAATAATGAAAGTTGTTGGTATTTACCCCTGATAACTGGGATACTGATAATGGTACACAGACTTTCAAGGAATTGAGATTTACAGTGCAATATGCTAAGTGAAACCAAGATTAATTAAATGCCTTTAATTTAGACCATATCTTAATCTTATAGCTCTAATGGCCAGATCATATTTCTGGTTAACAAATAGCAAAGCTGATTAAACTGAGACAACATTGGGTATGAAGTAGTTTATTATTCAGTAAAAATAGTGTAAGTCTAAGGCATAATCAAAGATAATTTCAAGATGCAATAATACCAACAGTGAAAAAATCAAGAAGCTAGTCCAAGAAATTAAGCTTGGGTTTTTTTGCTGGTGTTTCCAAAGTATAAATCAAACATACCTTGTTACTTAGATGATTTTTAAATTGTATTAAATATTTATAGGGGAAAAAGTTGCTACTCTAAGGTAACTATACAAAAAGAAGCTATTAGGTTCTCCTAAATTAGGGGTACTTCTGTGCCCTCCTCAATGTCAGCACAGGTCTTTTATGGCACAAAACCTTTGCATTCTAATTATTTCACCGGCTTGATAGACCGCCTTCAGTACTCTGTAGGTGATTTGCCTACCTCAGTCCCCACTGCCTACCTCGGTGACTTCCAAATGGCTAAGTAAATGCTGAGTGGATATTTAGTAAGAAAACTATGGACACTAGGGACAAATATGTGTTCATTAAATATGCATCATATGTTCTACAAGGCACCTAGCCTGGTCTCTTCAAAAAGGCAGTATTGGTCAGGTTTGGTGGCTCACGCCTGTAATCCCAGCACTTTGGGAGGCCAAGGTGGGTGCATCACTTGAGGTCAGGAGTTCGAGAGACCAGCCTGGCCAACATGGTGAAACCCCGTCTCTACTAAAAATTAAAAAAAAAAAAAAGCCAGATGTGGTGGTGCATGCCTGTAATCCTAACTACTTGGGAGGCTGAAGTGGGAGGATGGCTTGAACCTGGGAGGCAGAGGTTGCAGTGAGCCAAGATTGCGACACTGCACACTCCAGCCTGGGTGACAGGGTGAGACTCCGTCTCAAAAAAAAAAAAAGAAAAAAAAGGGCAGTATCATGAGAAAAAGGATGAGTATGTGCAGTGAGGGGAAAGGCTGCACTTGACTTAAGGAGTTAACTTGCCCAAATACAGCATGAGGTTTCCTGACTCAATAGTAGCGAACACGGAAACAAAACTCATTATCAGAAGCAGTTTATAAATATATTTCTAGAGCCCTTCTTACGGATTCCTGCTGAGTAGATCTAGGGTGAAATCAGTGACTCTTCTCTCCCAGATTATTTCAATAATTAACCAACTTTGGGAGTCTCTGGCTTAGGAAACCCTTTGCAGATGACTGATTTCCATGCTAAGGCACTAACGTTAAGTTTTTTTCCCCTTGGGCTTCACAAAATTGCAGACTTTTAGTGTGGTTGAAAAAAAAATACCTACTTAAAAATTGTTGTTTAATTTGGTATACTAATAATATTTCTTAGTATCAGAATTTGAGGTGATCTGCTAAAATACCTAAAACAATTTCATAGAAGATTTTAGCTTTCCACAAAACCTGAAGAGTATTATGTCAAAGTCTTTTTAAATGGCTAGTCTTCTGAAATACCTAGGCATTTACAAGTAATTTTTATGTGTGATTGTATTAGCCGTAAAAAAATGCTACAGACTGCTTGAAGAACAGAAATGTGTTATAGTTCTGGAGCTGGAAGTCCAAGATCAAGGTGTTGGCAAGAT